GCCCGTTAGCCACATCCCCAGCTATCTTCAGTCGGGTCTTCAAAGGAAGCAAACCTTGTTGAAGTGCTGTAGTCACGTCTAATTCTGCCTTGTCCATCAAAACATGAAGAACGCCGGGCTCAGGAATTAGCCACCCGTGAACAAAAAGATGGTTGGGATGGGCCTTTTCAATCCTTCTTTGGATCTCCCTAAAAAAAAGCGTTACATTCGTTAAATGAACAGCACCAATCTCCCCTCCCAGTATGCTGAAACGACATCATATACAAAATAGGCTCTATAATAAGAGACCTTACAAGCTTCGAGCAAAATCCAGAATAAAGTTGATAAAAGGTTATGGGCTCATTTTCATGGGCCCGGGGCTGCTCCCGCTGTAATCAAAACTTTACTCTTTTCTATTTTACCTCGGTTCTGAAACGATACGGAACGTCTCTCAAATTATCCAGACTGTTTAGAAAGACAAAGAGCAACCGACAAGGCTTATCTACTCTCCTCAGTTCGTGAGTACAGGAGAAGAAGACTTTTGTATACTTACATCGTATTGATCAAATCCACTGCCGTCTGCGCCCAAACATCCGGTTCCACCTTCTCCTCCTCGATGACCTTCACAACAAACTCTCCAGCAGATACTTCACCTGGCCATCCTGTGGAGCCATGAATCGTTCCGTGCTTTGTAGGTTTGATTGTTGGACCCAGGGTCAGTGGTCCGTTGTTTAGCAGGAACTGTAGGGCGAACCCTTGAACTACAAGATGCCTGACGGTAGGGATGTACAGGGCTGCCATTTCTTCCAACTGGTGAGCCGAGGTGTTCGATATGACTTCGTTAACGACTGTTAGACTATCTAAGATCTTAGAGAAAACCGTGTGTGCCTCTTCAAGGCGACCTTGTAGGGCAACACTAATTGAGTGGGTGATGCGTTGACTGCTGAATTTGGAAAGAATTAACTCGAGGACTTTTTTCCTAGTTGGCTTATCAGCTACATTGAAATCGGTGTTTGAAGATTTCCATTCCATTGCATGAGCTAACCCTTCAATCAAAACCTCTGACAGTACCCGTCTTAGCACTTTGCTCACCAGGCTTGTCAAATGTAAAGAAAGCTCTTCTGGAGATTGGTCTTGCAAAGTACTCGTCTTCGCCTTTGCTCCATATGCTAAAGAGAGGGCATATCTAAGTTGTGGATTGAGAATGTTCCTTGAGTGCAGCTCGACGTCCTTTTTCCCCTTTAAAAACTCTTCAAAAGTACGTTTGAAATCATTAAATATTCTGTCTAGAATAACCCCTTTCATGGCGATTAGGAATCGAAGGAAAGGAGCGTCATCCTTATTCCAATCAAGCGGAAAATGACACTTTGGCCGAGTCGCGTTTACACAGAGAAGCAAATACAAGTGACTCAGACGTTCCTCCAACTCCTGCAAACTTGCAATCAATGGAATGACCTCCGCTGGGGCTTGCATTGTTGCATTGAACCGAAGTGCTTCTGGCATGACCTTCTCCTGAAGACTGAGTAAACTGGATGACACCAGCTCTCCTACATTTTCTTCGCTTGCGATGTTTGAGGTTAATGTGGTATATAAAGATCTCTCAACGCTTTAGTAGTGTCAAATTCCAATTGACTTCCAAAGATACTGGGGAGGTTCTGCTTTGTTCTGTCCATGGAATGAACGAGACTCATCTGCAGGAAAATGAGCTTGTTCACCACTTGCTTAGCCTGCCTTTTGATGGTTTCTTCAAGAACACCCAACAAACCATCTTCAAGTTTGCTAAATATCACGGGCGCTGGGCTAAAGGTTTTTTCCTTCAGTCGTCACGGACGTTTTGCGCAGATATTCCATAAAAAGAAGAACAACTGTCATAGGATTCACTGACCGCTATCAGTCTGTGGTGTTGCAGTTGGGCAAAGACAATTTTCTGCTTGTCAACTCCCCTCTCTGTTTCCTCTTCGTCGGAACCAAGTTCGTCGGAGCTTCGAGCGTCGAATGTCTGGGCGCCAGCCGATGTGTCTACCTTGTCACACACGAACATGAATGACAACTGTGGGTGTTTGTCTTGAAGGAAACGAATCGTGTCGAGATCCTACAATGCAAAAGAATAAAAGAAAGAAAATGAGATGGTAGGTTGACATCTAGGAATCAGAACTGAATCAAATAAGCTGATCCACCTGTACGTTTCAACGATTACTGCGACTCTTTGCGTTTTCCCTTGATCTCTTTTAATAAAGAAGGGTGGGAGGAGGTAGGGGTGGGAGAATCTCTTCAGGAGCTTTGCAGTGTGCTGTGTTAATATTTTTAAATAATTAAAATATTTAAAAACCTGAAATTGTTTTGGTTGGGGGCAGGGGTCCAAAGGAATATTTTTCGGCGAGGAACTTAATTAATTTGAGCATTCTGCCTACATTGATTAGTACACTAATCAGCTATTGATTCTGTACACTCGTTTGACATTTCAAGTTTGTCCGATAAATCGTCACACCTCCCTCCCTCCCAGGGGGAGAAACCTCTCTCTCGTCACCATTCTTCTCATGGCCACCGAAAAACTCCACCGAAACAGGCTAAATCCAAAATCTTCTCTGTCTGCCAGCTGCGTTTACAGCATTTACTACGATTGCTTTGTGATTAATAATGTTGCACACAGTTTTACCCATTAATATCGATAAGAAAATGTCACACTTCCGGGTTAGATATCCCGGATGTATTGTATGGGGACAACAAGTTCTATCGTGACTGTTTTGTCGCAGTCTTTAAAACATCAATAGGTAACGTATAACGGCCCAGAAAACATGATTATAAAGTGCGCGATTAAAGTCAGTTATTATCACGCTGTAACAGATGGGTGTCTCAGTAACATAGAGTCTGTTCTTTATTACCTCCGTCACAAAATAACAACTAAAATATGGGTTATTAGAAACATCCGCAATAAGGTAGCTATGGCCCATACTTGAAACTCACCGATTGCCTCAGTTGTGCATTTCCATCGAAGATATACACGACGAGAGGTTTAGTGCCTTTTTCAAAGAATTCGTCCACCATGCACATCGTCTAGAGCATCATTCTCATTCCTTCCCGGGGAGTCGATTGATTCGATTCCGCTTTTCAGAAAGGGATGATTCAAGGCAATTTCAACGATGTACTTCAGCCGTTCTGATTGCTCTCTACTATCATCACAAACCACCGCATATTCCTTAGGAACTCTCTTTGTGAACGTAACCATAGGTTGAACTTTTTCTCCTGCTTTGTCAACGACCCTGATTTTATTTTCACCCATCGAGTGACTGATCTTGACTATTCGAGAAGCACAAGCTGTCTCGTGGACTGGTGAGTAGGATCCGCCAAGGAGTTCGTTCAGAACCGCGCTTTTTCTACAATTTCGATTACCAATAAAAACTACCGAGGGTCTTTTTTTTTTAATACTTGTTAGATTTCTTCCATGTTCAAGCATAGGCGTACGGGCCGGGAGGCATTAGCATTAGCTGGTGTGAGGTATTTGCAGTCGTGAATTAATTAATTTCGGTATAACGTTCAAGAATCATATTGTAGATTATTGACTGGAGACTCAGAAGATCTGAGTCTGTTTAACGGAAACACCAGATGAAGAAAGCTTCTCCCGTGTTGCTAAATTTTACAAAATCGACGGCGAGATTCTGGAAGCTGAGCAGAAAATGTACGCGAGTTTTCGTCGTGCGCGCGGATTAGGCTGCATGACTGTTTCAGAAATGCTGGAGACAATGCACGAGAATGATCTATTTGATATGTTTCCAGAATTTTCTAATGTGGTACATATCCTTGCAGTGATACCTGCTGCATCGTGTTCTGCAGAACGATCATTCGGTGCGTTGCGCAGATTAAAAACTTACCTCC